ATCAAAACGGTTGTAGAGTTTTTCAAAGAATTCAACAACAGGGTTTATTTTTTTTCATGCACCAAACCACTCCGAAGACGTGGCTTTTGGACGCGTACACAGCATCTTTCGCTGACGAATATAGTTGGCCACATATTTCCAGATGTGAGGAATTAAAAAGAATTAAATAGGCAAACAAATTGTCGTGTACCGTGCTATGAACAGGATCCAACGCAAACAAACCTTGTTAAACTGGCAGATGTTTATGCAATATCGCAGAAATGATCCTTGATGGCTCCATGCCAGGGTGTGTCACATGGCGATCATGTCTAATTAATTTCTGCATGACATCGAAATTCTGTCGCATAATGTCCAACTAGCGTATGTGGAAGTCGTGTAGTATATAATCTTAATAGTCCTACCATGACCCAAAATCAATTCATATCAATTTAAAACTAATCCACGCCGGGTTGAATAGTCAGACATGCCATCCGTGGTTCATCATATACGAAATATAATAATAATAGTAATAATAATATATATTCAAACTGCATTAATAAGTTAAACAAATTAAATCGCTCCCAATAAGCATTTATCTTGATTGAATATGGTATTGTAAACATACAACCGATCCAATCGGACAGTTGTGTGTCCATTATTATTCATTTTAAACAAGCTATAGTTAATTTTTATATTACTCACTTTATAACCACCTCACTATCCGATATCACACTAACGGCAATATTTTCCGGTGGTCCAGGCAAACGATCCCTATTCGATTCAAAACATTCCACAATAGTTCTTGCATACTGCAGACTACAAATTTCCTTAGAACGAACTGGTTCGCCACGACACCAATTCAGACATTTACGTGGTACATTCGAATCAGCACAACAACTACGATGATCTGAACCGTCAGCGGCACAACGCATCATTTTATCAAATTCGACAATACATTCAGGTTTATCAGCTATAGCATCAATATCGACATAATAACTGCAGGCACTGCGACACGTCATCGAAACATTCAGTTGGGCACAACATTCCGTAACATTATGATTGAGGGCTGGGGTGGTGCGCATCCGTACCGACACCGGTATGGTCTTGGAACCATATGGATTTTCAGCATGACAGAAATAGTCGCCAACATCGCTAGCTTGCAATTTGTGAATGCGCAACACCATCGTATATAAATTCGGATGTGATTCATTGATACGTTCCATAATGTGATAATTTCCACCCTCAATGACCGGTATGCGGCCATCATGATCACGCCAGAAAATAGTTTTTGGTTTGGGTTTCGAATCGACTAGACAGCGCAGTTCCACTTCATTGCCCACCGAGGCCACTGTTATGCCGGCGGCTTGGATTTTGGGAGGGTCTAGAGAAACACGATTTTGTTATTTTTCTAAAATATTTATTCTTATAAACAAAACTTACAGCAAATATTAACTTTCCGAGTGGCCTGCATTGGCACACCATATCCGTTATCGGCATAACACGAAACATGTTCCATATCTGCGGTCACATTGTGTATAACCGTAACCATATGTCTTGAGGCATCCTGACGCACTAAATGTCCACCAACATATAATGAAATAGTGGGAGCAGGATTTCCCAAAGCCAGACAGAGGATTGTCATGGAATCACCTTCAGGTATATTGTCAGCGGGATGTACCGTTGGAGGCTAGAGATTTTTATTAGGAATTAAATGTATTTCACTGAATGATTTTTTGTTGTACTTACATCCACAAATGCTGGTAAGGCTGGATCCGTCCAGGCCACAAGAGTTTCTGATGGCCGTCCAGGCCACAAGAGTAAATAACCCAGCGAACAAATTATTTTCAATTAAGGGAACCCCACCCATTCTCGATTTTAATTTTTCAAGATTTTCAATGGACTGGTAAATCAATACCAATGCTTGTTAAGGTTTGTAACTTTGCACATATATATTTGAAGATTTAAAAAATAAGAAAAATAATTTACAAAAAATTTTTGTTATTGCTTTGTTGTTGTTTTTTGTAATTGAAGAAAAGTCCTTATTTTTGATGGCGGGCATGATAACTCCTCACTGGAACATCGGAAACCGAAAATTCAAACGGTGTTAGAAAGAGTACATGTCTGGCTCTCGTATGGATTATTGACTTCGCTCTAAAATTAACAAAATGATGGACCTCTGAAAAATTATTTGTGGAAAATCGCCTATTTTTACCAAAAACCAAGTTAAAAAATAAGGAAGATCTTCACCGATTGGTTTTATCCTAGTTCATACGAGAGCTATACACTCCCAGAGAAACGTTGCAAAATTTGGAACCGATTGGATTATTAGTTTTTGAGTTATCGTGCCCGCCATTCGCAAAAAAATATTTAGAGAAAAACGCGTTTAAAGTTTGAGAAGCCCTTCAGCCGTCACTTGATGCTGACACAATAAATCGGCTATATCTTGAAGAGTTCTTGAGATTTTCACTTGAAATTTTGTAGAGACATTATTTAATCAGTGTAGATTCAAATTATATCAACAAATATTTTAACCCGGGAATAGGGGGGGGGGGGTTCCCCTTATATGGGGGTAGTTTAATACACGGACCAATATAATATATAATAATATATATTTTGACAATTTTAGTAACACACAATTTTGACAATGAGAACACACAATAAAAGTACCTGGTGATTATGTTGAAAAACGTGTCCAAAGTCGCCAAAATAACGAATATTGGGGAATACCGATCTTTTGAAGGCTACCACGAAACATGGACTGATATTGATAATTTCTGGTAGAAAGATTTGCAAAATATCAAATCGGAGCCAATTGAACACGTTTCTAAATACCGAAATTTGGGCGGTACCGTTATATAGGGTATTTTAGGTATTTTGATGGCCCTTTGTGAATTACCCAATCGAAGTGTCTAAAATTTTTTTTTTATTATTATTATTCCTTTATTTCGCTATTTTAAGAAATATACATTTTTGAGTTTGTACTTAATTAGTATTACAGCAATTATTATCTTGGAGACAGAGTCTTACAAGCGGTTATATTATCACAGATTAAGGAGAAAAACCTTTGGGAGACAAGAAAAAAAATGGGATTAAGAAATTTTTGAAAAATATGCATATATCTACTTTTAATATAAAAGAAGTTATACATATATTTATATTAAATTTCTAATGATATCATAGTTAGACATTCTGCATTTTTCGTCGAATGACAGCGTCAAATTCTGCATTACCATGTTTAAGGTCTGGTGTCCAAATTGATTATGAAGACGGTGTGTTGGATATCTCCAACCAAGTTTGTGAATTATTTTTAAGTTCTTATTTTGTATGATCTGTAATTTTTTTTAAATGACACTTGGTTGTCCTATGGAACCATACTTGACAAGCGCATGTCATTATTGGTCTAATGCACATTTTATACAGCAATATTTTGTTGCTGGTATTGAGACTAGATCTTCTGTTTAGTAGAGGATACAGCGCTCTTCCACAATTTATAGCCTTTTCACTAATGCCTTTAATCCAGAGTTACTCCTAAGTATTTGATAGACTTTTTTATCTCGATATTATTCCCCATAAATATTAGGGGAATACTCGGAATACGTTTCGGCGATTTGTTAAATGGGAAAATCACAGCTTGGGTTTTATCCTGGTTTATTTTAATTTTCCATCTATGGAAATATTTTTCGATATGTTTTAATGACAAAGCTAGTTGTTTTAATATGGCGTTTGATACTTTTCCCTTGCACATGATTGCGCTACCGTCTGCATAAAAAGCTGCATCATGGTTTCCTTTGATTGTGATATCCGAAGTGTATATTGAATACAGAACCGTTGAGAGCACTGATCCTTGGGGAAGACCAGCAGGTATCGTTCGAGGTGTTGACAAACTGTTATCAATGCTGACCAGAAACGTTCTTTTGTTTAAAAAACTTTGTATAAGTTTTTGAATATATAATGGATATGAATGTTTATGCAGTTTGTATACAACGCCGTCGTGCCAAACTGTATCGAAGGCCTTTTCTATGTCCAACAATACAATTCCGGTACTTTGTCTAGAGGCTTTATTCTGCTCTATTGTCTTTATGACACGTTTAATTTGATGAACTGTTGAATGTTCTCTTCGGAATCCAAATTGTTTTTTATGAAATATGTCATTATCCTCTGTATAAACCATTATGCGGTGAAATAGGACTTTTTCAAATATTTTGCCTAAAGAGCTAAGCAAACTGATTGGCCTGTAACTAGTTGGTGACTTAGGATCTTTTCCTTTCTTGTGTATAGGTATTACTTTTGCCTGCTTGAATGTATCCGGAAAGACGCCAGCGCTCATGAAATTGTTTAGAATTTTTGCCAAAGTGTCGAAAAATAAAGGTGACATTTTTTTAAGTAGAATATTGTGAATATTATCTATTCCAGGGGTTTTTCTACTTTTTAGTTGTTTCGTAATTGCAATCAGCTCAGATGCCCTCATTTCACTCTCAGAGTTTAATGTTCCAATTTCAGTGTTTTCCACTATGCTTTTGACTTGATTGACCTTTCTGTCCATAGGTGATCGATTATTAATTGTTATGGAATGGGCTTTTTCGAATTCGTTCGCAATCAAGTTAGCTTTGTTAGCTGGAGAAGATATTTCAGCTCAATCGAATTTTAGTGTTGGAATGGAATTGTTCTTTCCTCTTATTATTTTTGATATCTTCCAAAATTTTTGACTTCCCGTTGGTAATTTGGATATGAAATTGAACCACCTTTTATTTCGGTCTTTGTCGATGTAAAAATCTATAAAACGCCTTTGCTGCTTCAAAATGTTTGCAAGGGTAGTTCTTTGGTTTGGATCGGAACATCGCTGAAGCTTTCTTAACGTTGCTCTTTGACGTATTAATTGAAGAGTGTCAGGGGATAACTGCCTGACCGAATCTAATGACTTGCTGCGTGGAATCTTTTCTGTAGCACCCTTGATTATATCGATAGGTTTTTGTAGAGAATTGTCAATGTTTTCGTCCGATATGTTCAGTGATCCGATTTGATTGTCTACCCATCTCCTTATAGCGATCCAATCAGCTAGATGATACTGGGGAAAACTAGTTTCCGAACATTTAACGGAACCATGAATTTTGCACGTAATAGGAACATGATCGGAGACTAAAACATTTGGATGTGTTTCCAAATCGGATATAGATAGTGAAGAGTTTGAAATCAGTATGTCTACAGTAGATGGCGTAGTTGGCAAACTATTTTGACTGAATCGGGTGTAACTCGAGGGATAATATACATAAAAATTTGATTTATTTTGTAGATCGTATAGCGCATTTCCAGATTGATTGTTTTTCGAACAATTCCACGTAGTATGATCCATGACCGTACAATGTGCATTTTGAACACTGTGTGAGACCTTTGTTGCTCTTAACAGGATTTCTCCACTTGACACTTATTCCACAGAAAAATCGAATTTTACGAATCACCTTTTTCGAGACTTGTTGTCGGTCAAATTCAATCATGTAAATTGCATCGTCAATATTTGATCGTTTTGTTGTGATTTCTTTAACACAATGTTGTGGGATGATTTAAATTCATCTATAATTGTCGCAATAGCAATATTTGGTAAACCAAAGATTACAAGTTTAAATTTCTTTTTTTCTTTTACTTCATGAGTGTAAAATTTATAGCCGACATTATTTAGTTTTTTACTAGCATCCTCATACAATGACAGTGAGGAAGATATTATCTTCGTTCCAATAGACATCCTCTGAAAGTTATAATTTGTTCCCATAGTTTTGATAACGTTTGTGAAGCTAAAATTAGCATCAACTACAATCGGTGGGATATTAACTCTTGGAGAAATAACTTCTCTTTCTTCGTCGCTGTTTGAATCAAGCTCTTCTTCTTCCAGACCATTGAATCGATTGCTTGTGCTAGCAAAACTAGTGGTTTTCGGGTATTTAAATCGAGGATTATGCCCGGCAAATTTAGCTCTTCTCTTGTTGTTAACTGAGGCCATCAGATATAATTTGTTTAAATAAGTCTGGTATTATATATGTGTATAGTTTTTTTTTTTAATTACACAAAAAAAAAATTGTTCGCGTAGACAGAAATGCGTGTTGTTACAGCTGATTGCCGATACGAACTGAAGTGTCTATAATTTGTCATTGTGGATTCTGGCGAAAAATCATCTATTTGACGAAGTTTTTGACTGATTTTATATATTTTGAATGCCCTTCATTGCAACTTCGATAATGTAGCTCATCACGAAAGAGAAATAAATAAAAACCAGTAAGGAAAGTAGTAAAGTCGGACTGGGCCGACTATATGATACCTTTCATCACTTTGGGTATATTTTACATATGTATCCTATCAGACGACGCGTTTTGTTATAAATCTATATCTGAACCGATTTCAGGGAAACTTGCCAGAGACTAATTTATATAACATTAGTACGTTGTGTCTATCGGCCTAGCTATGGATCTTTTCACGAAGCTTAGCAACATCATTCTAGACTTGATTCAGTACCCTATAGCAAAATTCGTGCAAATCGAAAGATATATAGGGACTTTGGTACACAATTAATCTTAAATCGGACGAAAAAATATATAGGAGCTATATCTAAATCTGAACCGATTTTCACGAAACTTAGCAAACATCATTTTAGACCTTATTCATTACGCTGTGCCAAATTTCGTGCAAGTCAAAAGATTTCCAGGGACTTTAGTGGATTGTTTACCTAAAATCGGGCGAAGCTATATATGGGAGCTATATCTAAATTTGAACCGATATTCACGAAACTTTGCACATATCATTCTAGAC